ATAAATTGATCCAGTATAACGTTGTGAAAATTGTCAGTGGCTTATATGTGTATCAATGACACAGTTGAAGCATTGTACTATGGTATTCTAATAGTGAGAAAAGCATTTTGAAGGCCAAGGCTGGTAGTATCACAGATCCAGAGATGACAAGATATTCGGAGTCATTATTTGATTGGTGGACGGCAACTAGCAGTGAAATCCAGGATGCGCATTTCATCCTATTTTGGACTCGTCACTGGATGTACCTGCATTTCTCAGTGAGTGATGATGTTCCAAGCACCAAGGCTCGAACCCATTGCCCATAGTTTCAAACGCCAAAGCGTTATCCACTGGACCACCTGGACCTCTTTTGCAACGGGTCATATTAATTTAATTGAATTTTAGATTTTCCAGATGACGAGTCCCAAATAGGACGAAATGCGCTTTCTCCTGGATTCCACTGCTAGTCACCATCCACCAATTAAATACTAACTGAATACCCAGGCATCGTCAAAGAATCTACTTAGGAAGCCGACATTTCAACCTGAGACCGAGCAGTTCGGTCCAATCAACTGACGGGAAAATCTAAAATTCAATTAAATTCGGAGTCGTTGTCAATCAAATTCAGTTTACATCTTCAGAACAGTGTTTTAAATTAGAAGCAGAGCCTTGATTTTAAGTACGGTGAACATACTTTGTTCTGCAGTGAATTATATTCATTTATTTTTAGGATTAATCCGACAGGTATTCGTAACAGTAATAATAATATTATAGGTTTCCAGGCCGTAGGTGTTACGAACTTCCTGGAATAATTTGAGCGCCGAGTCAGATTGACTCATTACAAATTATTTAAATTAATCCCAGCGTGTTAAGAAAATCAAAACAAGGTTTTCCTGAACATTTCGCAGTGTAAGCTGCTGAAGAAGCAGTGGCTTACACAGCGAAACATTCAGAAAAATCTTGTTTTGATTTTCTTAACACGCTGGGATTAATTTAAATAATTTATAATGAAGTAATGATAATAGGTAGAGGTTCAATATAGGGCTTCAACAACACGTCTCCGCTGTGTCCTATTTTCTGCGGTCCTCTTAAGCTGTCACTACGACTGTCCATATTCTCTCATCTCCTCCTCATACAATCTCTTCCACGTCACCCTCGGAGTACCCACTAGTTATTTCCCACTTGGGGTCCACTCAAGCTGTGACCTGACGAGCGATTTTATTCGACGGTCTCTTCAGCGCATCCCCGATCCATCGCTATTTTCTCCGTCATATTTGTTAAGCAATAGGTTCTTTCTGGCAAGCCAGCCATTTTATCTTCAATATGTAGCCAGTGAAGAGAGTGCCTGTTGATAAAAGTCTACAGTAGGGTACTGGAATTGGTTTCTGTGACAAACGTGTCAGGTTTCTCAACCACATAGAAACAGTGATTGATTTAACATTGGTGTTGAAAATCCGAATGTTGTTCTTTATTCTGGTGATTGCAGAAGATTTGCAAACTGATTTCAAAGTGATGAAAAATGTCATTTGTCTTTTCTATTCTCGTTTCCATATGCTCAACCAAGCTGTAGCCTACAAGTGAAACGAGGTTTCTTAGATAAGTGAAGACATAGACTACTAGTCAAGGTTATCGGCGTGTATTTGTCTTCATACCCGACCTGATGGACCCTATTGACTACAACTTCTGATTAGAATTTCAGGGAACTTTATCCAGTAACCAGACACTAGCGAGGATTGGATTAATTTTCAAGAGTTAGTTTCTAGTGAGATCCAACATTCCGGGCATGACCTTGGCTAGCAGTCAAGCTTAAATCACGAATTGGTAGAAATTGGAATTCGCTAACTGGCCATTGGATAGAGTCTCACTGGCTAAATGATCTACTAGCTTCTCTTTAAAACTGGAATTCCTTGAATTCAAACTCTGGTGAGTGTATACTGATGAGAAGACCTAGAGAAGCACGAAACAGGTGTTCAGCATTTTGAAATTTCCGTAAACTGATTCTATTGAACTGATATGCTTAGTCTTCTTTCACACGTAGTCTTTTTGGCTTAAGATGGCTTAAGATGAACATCATGTTTCTCTGTCGCTTGTACAATAGGTGTACAATAGACGAGTCCCATACAGGATGAAACTTGGGTCGTTGATTCCACTGCTAGTCCTCATCACTAGCAAAGGGGTTTTCGGGTATTTTGTGAAAGTTTCTAAATAGATAGTCAACGCTCTATGCTTGATGATATATAACTGAGTAGACCCCTGTGTCACTAAATTAGCACCAAAATGATGAATGAGACGTTTGGCAGATGGATAAATGTAATGTAAATATTTTTATTCACCTTCTCTCTATTGTTATTTATTTCAAATAACCTGATAATCAAATACCAGTGGCACAACTTTCATGTTTCAAATGTTTTAACCTCGAATGAAAGTACTTCTACTTAATTCACCTTCAGTCATGTTTAAAGTTATTTTTAGATTCTGTCAAAAACACACAGATAATTAGGTCCACACATAAATACCCTTATGTTGAGAATGATTGTAAGAGTGATAATTTCCCGGAGATTACGTAAGACAGTGCTTATGTTTATGCCTGTGTGTGTATGCCTGTCTGTCTGAACAAAGGTAAAGACTGTTACAGAAAGGTTCTTCTGTTTACTTTCGACTGTATAAACTTTAATTGTCCAAACATTAGAGAGACAGCGAGACGGAAGGAGAGATTTCTTATTCACAACACAAATAAAAAAAATAGGACAAAACACACTGACTCAATAATACACCCTCATACGCCTGTATACAGACTCAAACATACAAATAATGGAAGAAGGATGAATGTCAAATGGAAGGAAGGATGTAGAATGTATTCTCTAGCATTATTTATTTGATGCATAGATTTATATCAAATTAGAAAATTGTTGAGTAAACATCTTATACCGAAAACAATAACAATAAGATTGAAAATATGCGTGGTAAACAATGCCTTTTAAACAAAGTTGAGAAACAGAATCTGCAAAATGTGAAACACTAGAGGGTAACAGACATTGTCATCTTTACATTATCATGGAAAATTCTAATCTTGATCTGTGTACAGTTCTAATGTTTGAAATTTAATGATGTGATGCCTGTTGGGCATCAGTTATCAGGTGAAGGAAAGAGGTTGACCTGTGATACTGACAACAGTGCAAAGCGTTTTCTTTGTGAGTTAAAGTCCCTTCGCTCTACGCGACACAGAAAATACTAGAAGTTATCGATTCTAATTGTATCATGGAGTAAATGGCTTCATACTAGTCAGTATCTAGTGTAATGTGTCTAGAACTTTTTTTGGTGTAGACTGAAGTCCATCCGTCAAGTTTTCAATTTGGCCACCATTCTAGATGGCTCGCCACCATGGTGCACTTTGAATTGTTGACATAAGATGATTTGAGGCAATCGGTAGGAAGTTATCCACCTAGGTTTCGCGCTAGTTGGCATTCGTCAGTAGGACGTGTCTGCGACCCTGAGGGAACTCATGTCCCTTCTGATATTCGAACTCGTGTCAACCAGTGCTGCAGTCAATCCACTACAGTCCTACAGGAGGTCAACAGAGAGTCTGAATGGCTAGTGGTAACATCTCTGACAGCAACAGTGGGTGACGCGGGTTCGAATTTCAAAAGGGACATGAGTTCCTTCAAGGCTGCAGATACGCCTTGCTGATCGGTGACTGCCAACTAGCACGAAACCTTAGTCGAAGGCTTTCTGTGGCCGATTTCCTCCAACCATTTAATACCAACAACACATTTTAACCTGTACAACTTACTAAGCCAAAGTCATATTCATTATTCATCGATCAGACAGCTAACTCACTTGAATAGTGTACGAACATACGTATTCATGCAAAACTTGCATGGTAGAGTGGTTGAGTAACTCACTTAGAAACTGGTTAACATACATTCATATCTTTAATAGCACTGAAAAGTATTCCTTTGCCTAGCTAATAAAAGCTAGCAAGAAAGAAAAGTTTAGTGAATTAGAAAGCTCATTTCTCACAATGCAGTAAACAAACAAGTGTCATTCAGTGTCTTAAAAAGGTGACAAATGTCCTAGGGCTTGATTTTGCACTTTATTGGGTATATTATCACTACTCAGAAAAGTCAAATGTTCATAATTCAAGATACTATCTAAAACTTATCGATATTGAATAAATCATCTCCAGTTGACCTAGAAAATTTTGGTTTTCCCTTAGTGCATAAATTAACTCAAATAGTGAATAACTCACTTCGATGAGAACATTATCCTCTAATGAAACCACTTCAACGTTTACTTAACAAAAGCTATAAGGTTATAGATCAATATTTCAGCGAAGTTCATAGATTTTGTAAGTCTATATTTCTTCAGTAGCCTAAGAATTCACTAAAAGCCTCTGATTAATTTTACTACCTGAGATGATATTAACATTTTCCCGTTCGTCCAGGACTTTCCTCTGGTTCAGTGGTATATATTCAGTGTATCTGTTGTCAATTCTGCTATGTTGTACACAAGAGATAATAATGTATGTAAGACAAGTCAAGTGGGGTTTCGTATGAAAAGGTTTTGGAGTAGTTTACGAAAGCATCCCTTCTCAAGTTAGTATTCGTCTCAGGTATAAGACGTTTCTATTGGTAACGATTGTTATACACTTTCCCTTATTTCCAAAGTATACCTACTGAAGAATATTGGATGAGCTGAAGTTGAAGCAGAGTTATTGTGGGTCATTCCAAATGTAAATTCGTGTAGATGTAGTAGAAGTGTTGGAATAATTTCGTTCCTGTTAGTTCTCTCACTATACGAAAATTATGAATGAACTAGCTAACGTAACTTAGAAAATCTTTTCTGCACATACTCCTAGTGCTTTTTGAGTGAATTTTACCTGAAAAATTGTAAAAAACTTCATAAACCGAGGAAAAAGGTCTCCTGAGCCAAATACAAACTATCCAGTTGCAAATTTTGACTAGAGATACCGCCACAATGAACTGTATTCTGGCTTTAAATGAAAGAAAACAAAGAACACAATGTTAGCCTTTTGCTTCAAATTAATTTCACATAAAAATACACTTGTTGAAGTCAGTTCTTCCCCTTGAGTAGGTACAGAGCGAGTCATCATTGATAAATTTCGTCGTAAGGTTTACTGATTCAGAATCCACATGGATTTATAAGTACCTTTCATCTCGGCTAACAGTGTCAATTTCGTCATGAACTGACAGTAATTAAAGAATCACTGAAAGCCAGAGAGTACTGGAGAGATATTTTGTCTTATTTCGGAATTCTTCAGTACAAAGCCAAGCTGTAAACCATTCAACCATAGGACTGTTACTCACCGACCCGTGAATTCTCACTTTCATGAATTCATGGAACATAATTACCAAAAGGTAATACCATTACTGAGCATCCACTTAACCTTGACATAGTGAACCTTACAGGTCAAAAAAATTTTCATTAGATCTTCAGGAAATTCATCCATGACGGGTCATGTTAGTCCACTACCAGAGTCACTGTACAGTTTTATTATGGTAGTAAGTATAAGCGTGTAAGAGTTGGACTTAGGATTTACTTCGACCTAACAATAACCGCTCTTACAAACTCCTTCACCATTTATGACCTTAATTAGTACTCTGCCTACGTGCAAGTACTAAAGAACGGAACCAAAGTTAGAAGACTCGAAATGGTAAGTGTAACTGGACCGGAATTGTATTTACACAAAGCGATATGGAATTTGATTAGAAATAAAAAAGTACACACTTATCTGGAGGTGAGACGGTTGTCAGCTCGTAGAGAGTACTAGGTGAAAGTACAGCGAGAGAGCGAGACAGTAACCGTACAGGAGGATCAGGAGTACAAAAGCGGAAGTGGGGTTAAACATGTCAGGTTGCGTTCATTCAAACAAAAGTTCAAAGGTACAATGTACACTACAAGCGTTTCATTATAGAGTAATAAGGTTCGTCCATGGTGTGTACTTCTAAAGAGTCTCAAAGTAGAGCGAAACAGCCATTCACTACTCCTTGAGTGTTATGCTAGGATCTCGATCGAATCTCTACCAATCAACACATGAAAATTCATAATGCTTTAACTCAATGACGTAGAAACCTTCATTTATTCATCGGTAATGAAAATAAACAAAAATTTACAACAACAACAAAATCAAATTTCCGCTTAATTCCAATTTGACTAATAAGTAATTTCTTTTCATTTTCCCGCTTTCTTGTAAACTTTTCCTCCTCTTTCTTCTTCTTTTTTCCAGTTTTGTAAATTAAACAGTGATACAGCCGATTCTGTTCTTCGTGATATTTTGAAACGTAAATGGGGTCTGAAACCACCTACCCTTATCATTACTGTTTTTGGTACAGATTTTGAAAAGAAAAGAAAATTAAAAATGATATTTAAAAAAGGTCTTTGGAAGGCTGCTGAAAGTGGTAAGTACTGAATGTTGAGTGTAAATAAATTCGTATTCATGTATACGTTGTATTATTTTTGGTTACAACAAGGTACAGGAGTGAACAATATTGTTTTCAATGAGATCTTTTTCAGGCTTTACTCTAATTTACATATATTTATATATGCATAAAAATACTTTAAACACTGATGGTGAGTTTGGAGATCAAATAAAAGAAACCTCTGAAAAGGTCGAAGTCGCCCCAGAAAAGATGCGGATATTTAATCTCGAATTTAAAAGTAATACTGAAGCAGGACTTCTCCATAGATGGCTTCCGAAGTCTCTCAGTAAAACATACTTTGCCGCCAGTCTATGAGTAACACTCCCCTGCACATGGAAGACAAGCTGTCTCATTGAGTCACTTCAGCATGTAGATATCTTTTGACTAGAAGCTGGTGTGTAGCTGAGTACATTGGTTGTACCATGCGTTTGTTTTCAAAACATGCTCGATAACACTATCCAACAGAGTTAGCAAAGGGAAAACGCAAGGGTTTATATAGTTTGGCAACAGACCATCTGGTGAATTCAAGAGATTCTGGTCTACTTGAGAAGTCCATCAAAGTCATATACAAGATCCGATTGAACCTCTCAGAGTGAGTGAAATCAAGGCATCCAGGAATAGCCGAGGCACTAGAGATCCAAACGTTTAAGCCCTCGCCACCTTTTCAAAAGAAATACATCCAACTGTTTCCCTAACATGGCCTTCATAAAAAGTCATTCCCACCAATAAAGATGATCCAATTGCATTTCTTGTCCAACCTTCCTGTTTATTTATTTTTATTTTTACATTTCTAACTCCTGTTTGCATAACTAGATTAGCTTTCTTCGTTTTTTTATGTCCTAACTTGCTAAATATTTTGTTATTACTGCCTCTTTATTCCATAGTCGTACAAGTGATCAAGTTTTTCAGTAATTCTGATCTTATTATGTCTTTTCTACCCGATCTTCCTGATTATTACACTGTAATTTAACCTTTGACAGGAAACAATTCGGAAATATCCTCATACATTTACTACAAATACATGAAAAGGCAGCCTCGTTGAAGACTTCGTCGAAAACAATATTACCTTCGCTGCAACCGTCTTTTTAAAAATAATGAGAATAATATATGCTAAATGTTTTTAAACGTTAGCGATAACGATGATTATAATGAGACCAGAAATAATGATTCTAGGGCTTATACAGGTGGTGATGGAAGGAACGAAGGTAGTAATAAGTGTATATGTAGACAATTCAACAAATAAATTAAGTCAAATCTTAAAAGTTACACAATCCTAAAGGTGGACTGGACAGATAATCAGAGTTTAAATAAATGTAATCAAATTACGAATGAAATGGAAAATAAGAACGGATGGGAGGTTTATTCTAATTAGAATTTACCTACCTAGGCCAAGGGAGAGACAACGGTGGAACAAACTTCTTTCGTTGTATGCAAAGATACTAGAATTGTTCTCTCCAATTCCCATAGCTTCGACTACGTGTAAAAGGCAGGTTCGAATTTCGTTTGAAAGGTCCAATGGAATGCGACAGATAGCTTGGAAGTCACTTCTTCTGTCCACTTGGTGACCACCTTCATCAGTTAAATGAGACAAAATAGTACTTCTTATAGATTTTATTTGGCTTTTTCCGAACCATGAAGGAAGATGTTCATTAATACGTTTGTTGGGCTGTCGAGTTGTTTTCTCTAATTAGCTTTCTTCACAGGAGCAACTAAATTTGCAGATACACATAGAAGTGGTACAGCTAAGTAGCTTGTCTTTCGCTTGAGCAATCATAATTGGTCGTCTGACAAATGGTAAACAAAGGGAGGTGGCAGTATAAATCCGTTTTATTGCTCTCGATAATCTTCGCCGTAGGACTGAAGAAGAGCTGTTTCCTTCTAAATGTTGCCTTTTTCTCTTTATTATACCCGGTTTTCATATGTCTCCTTACAAATCTACTAGGATAACCCATTTAGACCAGCGTATTTTGGAAGCATCCTAATTCATTTTCTAGGGAGTCATTTGTACAGATCTTTCTTGCTCTATTCTTGAGGTATCTGGCTGAATTGATTTGATATCGGATTGATTGGAAATCTAACAGTTTACTGGTTACCTCGAAAAGCTAATCGTTCTTCAGTTTATTATTTGAAGAAGTCACATGATTGGCAACTTTAGAGAGTAAATAAATTCTTCAATTTATTTTACAGTTTTTTAAAGGCTTGAGCGTCTGAAAAGTATCATACCCCTTGTTTTCTTTCTTAACTAATCAGCTCTTTTACCAATCATTATTCGTATGAGTTACAAGTTTGAAATCTTTTGGTTAATCCGGATTATTGATTTTTTCTCATACTTGAGGTTGCTACTGCCCAGTATATATTCAACATTACTCCTGATATAATCACTACTAAGCTCTAAGGTCCTTGGTCTGCATAAATAGTCTAGAATTATACTATTATTACTATTGTTCCCTTGGATCCCAAGTGGAATATAATGCTTCAACAACACATCTCTACTCTGTCCTATATACTGTGGTCCTCTTTTGCTGGGCTCACGACTACCCATAGTTTCTCGACTCCTCCTCATATGATATCCTTCATGTCATAATTGAACCACATTCTAACTTGTCGTTCCTCATTCAGGTTCCACCTGCGTGATGCCTTGTTATGCAGTTTCACTCAACGGTATCCTCAGCGTCTGTATGATAATAATAATAATTTGCTTTATCCCAAAACAGTACATGTGATACAGAATGGAATTCTCAGCATTTTTACTACAGTATTGCATCCAGTTAGTACATTATCAATAAATATAATTCTACATAGATTAAGGAAACCACAGTTCATTATTACAACAATACACTGGCATGTCGGCAGCAAAGCCAAAGCAGAACAGTGTTTGAAGGTCTTAGAAAAGTAGGTGCTATCATATTTACTGGTGTAAGCGAGAGAAAGAAACAAAGCAGCACATAAGGAAAAAAAGAGAGAGAGAATAGGAAAAAAGAAAGAAAATGTTGTACCTATAAATGATGTGAGTTGGAAAGACGAGGTCCAGTTGTACTACTGACTATTTAATGAATTATAGGTGTCACGCCTAATGCTTTCTTTATCACACAGAACACGAGCTAAGTAGGGTATGATTGAGTTTTTGTACTTGCTGGTGCGAGCATATAGTTTTCTATATTGGCTTCTCGTTTTGCCTGATGAGATGCAAGGGGAGAGTTGTGAATGAAGAGGGTGGTGTGAGTTAGATAAAATGGATTTGGCCCATTTTTCACATGAGTCCACGTGCCTGTCGACCACAATATTAACAAGCTGGTTAAGTGGCACGTTGCTTACCCTGTTGACAACCTTTAACATCCTTCGTAATAAGGTATAGTCTTTCTTCAGTAGCCCGGGAAAAACTAAAGGGGAACAATAGAGAATAATAGGCAGGATGCGAGAATTAACGAATTGTAGGAGTAAGAGTTGGGTTATACCAGAATGTTTTAACTTCTTAATGTAGAAGGTCAAACGGAATATTTTCCTAGAAATCGTCAAGATATGAGACGACCAGGAGAGACCAGCAGATAGAATGACGCCTAGGTATTTAATTTCCTACTCGGTTACTATTTCAGTGCCGTCTATGTTGCACTCTTCGTGAGTGCTAACCAGTTTGTCAGACTTGTGCCTAAAGGTGAAATTGACTGTTTGACATTTGGAGGGGTTTAAGGTAAGACCGTTAGCCTTGGACCACTGGCTGATTTCTGACAGAAAGCCATTAAGTTTAGAGCAGTCACTTTGACATTTGACAGGCAAAGATACTGTCAGGTCGTCAGCATCTCCACTTTCTTCTGCATGTTCATCGAGTTAGACGTTCTTAGTTGGTTTGTTCCCAGAGTTACTTGATGCTAACTCAATATGGAGCCAAAGAAAGTTGTAGCTGTTAGTAAAAGTATGTAGTAGCCTGTTGGGAGTGGCTAACGTGACACGCGTGTCAAGTTCGTTACCGATTTAGAAGAAGTGACCGACTTAACATTTATGTTGAAAATCCGAGTTCGGTTGGCTATGTTGAGTATAGCATGTTTTCAAACTGATTTCAGAGTGGTGGAAATGTCCCTTACCTTTCCTATTCTGACTGAGGAATCGCATTCGCAGATAATGACATCGGCTGGTGGTCGTGCCAAAGCCACAATTAGGTAGAAGTTAGAATTCGTGGACTGGCAACTGAGTTGCGTCCCAGTGTCTGAACTGTCTGCTAGCTACCTTGAATTGTACTCGGTACATCCTGTGTTCAAACCCCTATGATAAAGAAATCTTACTGGGTATTTAAAAGTCCTGTTGTGGGTTTGCTATGACAGCTTTGTTTATCTCGAGCGTCTTTGTTTCTTGGGTTGCAGTTATGTTTATTAGCTTTCTAGCGCATCACGAACAAGGCTGTTTAAAGGAAAGGTGTTACAATAATGAGAGTACTGTGGATATCACGTAGTGTAATTTTTTGAGTATGTGAGTGTTTTTTGCTAAGTCGATGTTGTTTTTGAGAGTGACTGATTGTTGAGTGAGTAGACGATGTGATTGATGTTGATAGTGATTGTTGTGAGTTTGCGGACATCCGGCGATAGCTCAGTCGTTTTACCGGAGCACTGTAGATTGGTGAAATGATCCTTAGTTCGGTAGTGTGAAACCGCCTTGCTGGAGCCGGTGAGCTTTTGACCCATCGGACAACCACAATTCACACGAGGCTGCTTTCTCCGCCACAATCGAGTAAATCAAGCCATCAGTCTGAACATCACTCTGTGTGCTGCCCACACGTGTCGCAGTCTATTCGCCCACTTCCAGCCCTACCCCTGACTCAACACACCATCACCTTTGTCTCGTCGCCATATGGAATCCCTTAATGTGGATGATCCGTCATAGAAGCATCGCATTTACCATACTTCTGTCTCTAATATGTTTCTTCTACTCTCGTACTCATTACTTTGAACTAGATGACACTGAAATATTTGACTGTGCCGCATTTTGTG